AAAATTTAATCTTGTTAAATTTAAAACTTCTGCGCTTGTTTAATTATTGATATGTCTATAAATTTTCCAGCTTTTGTGTATAACTTTTTTTAATAAATTGTTATAGGTGAGCTTAATTTTTCAAAATAACATTTAAGAATTTTATTATTTAAGGAATTGATAGTGAAGTACAAGTACATGTATGGTTTTTAAATATTTCTACTGTAAAATTTGTTTATCTTATTCGCCCTCTTTATCTATATATACATTTATTCAAGTTTCACATTGTTATAATTCAAGTTTATTATCTACTAGAGAAAGGTACTCCTCTTATCAATCACGTGTATAACTATACCAGGGGTGGCCAACATGAATAGGTTCATGAGCCACACAGATAAATATAATAATTCCAAGAGTCAAATACAAGATAAATACAAATAAATTTTAAATAATTTGATAATATTTTGTAAATTTAAACATATAAAATTAAAATCCAAAATAATAATATAAATAAATTTTAATTTTATAAATAAAGCGTGAGTCGCATCTAACAATGACTCGCGAGCCCCAAATTGGTCATCTATGAACAATACAATATATACAAATATAAGTCACCAGTATTCAAAAACTGAAATGAAAAGATAAAAATAATAATGTTTCCTCCATTCAGCTGAAATTGTATACATCGAGTTATACGGGATATTGTCACTAAACATTTCTCTAAAATCCATGTAATAAAATGATAGTTTTCCTTACTTGTTATAACAAAAACTAAAAGGTTTATTTCCTGTTAAATATTTTACTTGATAAAGTTTTTTTTCTTTTAATAAAGATTTATTAATTTACAGACATTATAATTTATCATTACTACCCTGTTTATTTATACTTTTTAAAAATATTACTTGCAATTCAATTTTTAACGTATAAATATATATATATATATATTTATATACCCAATTAACCAATATAATTCATTCGGATATTCAATTTATAATCTACTGAATGGTCACATTGATTGTCCACATTCACTAGCTTTAATAAAAATCAAAATTCCCTCATACTTTTTCAGAAACAACAATCGATTTTTTATTCCACATCATCGTGTGGATTTCGTGTAGATTTTTTCTTCCTCGTGCTTTACTCTTAAGTAAAAAAATATCCAATTAATGGACTTCATTGATTCTAACAGTCATGAATTTAAGTTGCGTTAATGTTAAAAAATAATAATGTTTCGAAATCATTATTTCTTAAGCTTTAATTTTGTAATATTTTTAATATTTTTCTGTAATTCTAAAATATATAATTAATAGGTATTAATATTTTTTTAAATACATTTCTGTACTGTTACTTTATGTAATTTTTTTTTATTATTATCAATGTGTTTAATCATATTCAAGGGTTTTTGGCCTATAAAATAACCTATCTAATCTAACCAATTTTGTTGCTGACGAATGATTGAATTTATCTATTACCTTTATTTTTTATTCATATTTTTTTTTTTTTTTGCATTATTGTATACACATTTTAATTGATTTCCATTAGTAAATTCTGTAAAATTTTTATTTAGGAAAATATGTATTCGAATCACTTTAATTTCCTGTTAAATTGTCTTGGTTCGGATAAATTAATTTAATATTTATATGTATACTTAAATACGCCAAACCATCTGCAGTACCAGAATTTTAAGTGTTTTTATTATTATTAATTCTGTTAATTATAATTTTTCAATAATTATTTTACTACGGCGAGCTTCCAATAACAAGATATAATGGTATTAATTATAGTAAATATAAATCTATACATTTACCATACATATACCTATACATAATCCTTTATTTTCCTTCTTATAAAGTAATTGACTGTAGTATAAATATGAATTATGATTAATGCGTGAGTCATGTAAAATAATGTTCTTGAGTTTTTACGGTAGGTACTTCCAATCAATGAATAAATAATTAATTTTAAAATAAATTAAGTACGTTTGAAAATTATAACTTAAACTTAAATAAAAATAAAAATTTTATCTGCACAAACAATTATGATTTTTAAAAAATTATTATGTCAGTGACAGTTGTTTAAAATGTAGGTATTTAAGATAAATGAGCTTCTGTTGTTAAGTATTTAATACATTGGTTCTACATTCGTACTTCTAATCAATGAGCATTAAAGATCAACTAGTCAAGCATATTTCATCTAAATAATGTTTGTAAAATAAAATACTAAAGATGGTATAAACTTAATTTTATTGAATAAGCAAAAAAAAACACAATTATGAGATACTAATTAAAAATTCTACTTTATATTTAGTTAAAATAATAAAGTTTATTGTTCATTTTAAAAACTAAAAATGGGAATCTTAACTTTTTGAAGTACTTTACATGTAATATATTAATTTATAAGTACATTTTATAATTTACATCATAACATTTGTATTTATAGAATATTGTTGTAACATTGAGACTTGGAAAAGATTTGATTGCGTCGGTCATCTCTATTTCATATATTAGTTTGTATAAAATACATCAATACAATATATTTCGATACAGTTGTATATTCAAGTATACTCGGTAAAACGAATTAAAATTAAAAGCAAGACGATGATAAATGAAAGATAATATTTTCCAAATGGCGACGAGTTCTAATTTATCAAAAAATAATGGTTAAAAAATTATTTTAAATTTAAATTTAGGTGTATTTTTAATATTTTGTGTGTTTATTCACTTACCTAAAAAATCAATAAACTACCATTTTGAAGTCCGGGAAGTAAAATACAATATTCTTTAAATCCTTATAATTCATAAAAAGAAGGCTATATTTTTTGAAACTATTTAATTATCCCTAAGAAGATTTCCCGAAAAAAGTAAATTACATTACACAAGATCAATTGACACTAAACTACTTCACCGGTTTTATCTGAACATAAAACAAAAAGTAGTTATAGACCGATTTATATTATTGATTCTTAATTTTGTCCATACGAAAACGGCTCTTAAGCAATAAACAATTAAACAATTGTTGTTATACAGTATGTCTCATAAGTCCCGTATCACCTTTATTATTTCCACGAGAAATCAATATATTTAAACGCGGGTTTTTTTTACAATACTTAGTATGGAAATTCTGATTGAATGGCATAAAATTCAAAATAAAATTTTTTATGCATTTAAGAACTTTCAATTTTTAAGATAGCCATTTTATTGAGCATACTTTTTAAAACAGTTAAAAAAATATATTAAAAATAAATAAAAATTAACCAAGTTAAAGAAAGATATGTTTTTGAATAATTATAACAAAAAAATTAATTGTTTCACATTTCATTAATCCAGTGCTTTGGCCACCTAGGTCGCCCAACTTAACACCAATGGATTTTTCTTATGGGGTTTTTCGAAAAATCTTGTGTATCCGTCGTGTTCATTGCCTGATCTCCGTGACAAAATTGAACAAAATATTCAAAATATTTTACCTGAGACATTAAAAAATGTTAAAAATGCTTGGGTCCAAAAACTTCAGCTCTGTATTACAAATAATGTAGGTCACTTCGAACATTTATAAAATAAAATGTAATGCATTATTTTCGTTTTTTATGTCATAAAATCTTTTTATTTTCTATTAACAATCAAGTTTAAAAATATTATAGGAATTTTAATTTTAATGTTTCCTAATAGCTTCACTAATAATTAGATATTTACAGATTGCCATAAAAAAAATCAGCGTTCCAATCGAGATTGATTAAATCGAGCAATTCGTGTTTTGCTAGGTAACAACTATTATTATATTTATTCAAAAACATAACTTGCTCTAACTTGGTCAATTTTTATTTAATTTTAATATTTTTTTTTTTTGGACTGTTTTAAAAAATATGCTCAAGAAAATGGCTATCTTAAAAATTGAAAATTCTTAAATGCATAAACATTTTTTTTTTAATCTTTGAATTTTTTTAAAAAAAAAAATTGAATTTTATGCCATTCAATCAGAATTTCCATACTAGGTATTGTAAAAAAAAATCGCGTTTAAATATATTGATTTCCTGTGGAAATATTAAGGGTGATACGGGACTTATGGGACATACTGTATATATGGGAAATACAGTTCAGTATTTAGTTATTTATGAGGATTTTATCAATTGGTAAAAACGAAAAACAAGTGGTCGTGCGGATACGTATGGACTGCAAACATATAAAATATACAAATTTATACCTATACATTTATGTTTATACTTACGCCATACAAAGTGACTGAATAAACAATCAAATCGTTTTACACGTAATATTTGCAACTTTATATATGTACAGAAGCGAAAGTTATTAAATTTTCGTCCATGCATTTAATTTCGATAAAGCAAATATTTTTCTGGTTGGACCTTTTCTGCAGGGGTTTTATCATCATTTTTTAATAACCCGATAATAATTGGATTCAAATCAAAGCGCAAGTTCCCATATGCATACACACGTTTTTTTTTTTTCACCAGCGATTGTTGGGGTCGATCGGGTTTTTATTGTACATACATTTTGCGCCTTATTAAATCGTTCCCCTCGTGTGTTAAAACGATCATGCGTGTTGTGAACGTATGGGTGTGCGTGCGTGTATGTGTGTACGAGTGTACGTGTACGCGTGCGCCCGTGTGTAGCCTGTGCGGTGTATGAGTTATAGAGAGCGCGCTGTCATGGCGTCGGGGGCGCGGTCCTCCGGTAGTCTTGGTTCCGCCTATTTTCGCTCGTCATACGGTTCTCTTGTGTTTTATCACATAGATATACGTGTACACAGTGCTATAGTCCATAACGCTACTGTTGTTTACTCATTAACAACTTTATGTACTCGCCTTGAGGACTTGAGGAGACACGCAGAACACACAAGACGAAAATGGTTTTCGTTTGCTACGGCGGAACATAATAACACAATACACGATCAATGCAGCAACCGAGATGATCGCAATGCTCATTGTCGCGCAGAAAAAACAATTAATGTTTACTATTTATTTTTTATATATATATATATAAATATATATATAAGTTTATTTCGTAGATACAATTACATATACATCACATTTTACACAAAAAAAAAAAAGTAATTATAATGGATAAAAAAAAAAATGAATATACAATAGGTGTATAGAAGTCGAACATTTTTACAAAACAATTACAGTTCGGGGTTGTGCAAGAAAAATCTGATAATTTATTCGGCTTATTAAAATGTTGTAATTGAAAAATACTCGTTGTAAGGTAATAAGTTACTTTGTTCGTACAATTTGACTCATTACTATTAGATATACGAATCGTAATATTGTCCATAATTACTAAACATTTAACAAGGAAAACGGATCAATTCAATTAAAATAATTCAACAATGATAATAATATTTATACAAGCTAGTTTTTTTATACCTACGCTGAAAAATATTCATATAGATATATAGGTCATTTTAAACGACATTGTTTTTTACTTGCTCATGTACGATTCGTTTGATAACTGTACATAATATTTTATAGTATTGAAATAACTTTGACTTTTTATAAATACCAATATATATAATTGTTTTGACAATAAGGCTATACTATATAGTATAATTATTTAAACTGTTTTATGTCTTCGTTCATTATTCAATTTGATCATCTTAATAAATAGAGATTTACAAAAATTATATAATTATACTTTGGGTATTCAAACAGTCTATTTGTATAGAATCTAAAGCTAAATTCTTAGTTTAATACACCTACAACTGAAAATTGTGTTTATAGTGCTTTTAAATTTAATGTACACACGTCTTATATAAATATAATAATAATAGTAATAATAATAATAGAGATAAAGAATTAATATGTACGAAAAAACATACCAAAGTGAAACTATCACAGACCTAACAAATTAAAAAAAAAACAAATTATCAGACATCATCAGTGATAAACATGTTTGCTATACAATAATATTTAATACATTTAATGGCTATAGCTATACATATATGTACTCGGAATATATACTATGTATAGTATAATAATTTAATACAGATAGTTTAATTTTACGTATACTTGTATACGTATAAAGATGTTTCAAAATTCATGACATCGTTGGAGTATAACATAGACGTAGAATATATTTAACATTTTAAGAACAAATAAAAAAAAAAACACTAAAACGAATATAGAATAATCAACTTAAATAATTTAAAATAAAATATTAACATTTTTATACATTACTGTTTATATTTATGTTGACGGGGAACATAATATATCTCACTAGAACTGTGGTTATTGTAATGTCATTGTGATTTGAAATTGTCTTTATATGTATACATAATGTTTTTCGTGCGATGTGTGTGCAATATATACACACTTATAACATGTATTATATGAACACAATAGCGATTGCGTTGCGTACGATATGAAATTAATTTTTAGATACCTACAGTGTTGTTGATTAGCTAAAAATAGGTAACGGACCAAATAAGTCATAGCTCACCAAGCACGTCCTTGAATAGATAAATAGGACATGTTCTGTTGTTGATGGTGATGCTGACCTACATTTTGTCTTGGATATGCCATTGCAGTGTTGGTCAGCAGCTGGTGTTGCGGCGGTTGGTGTTGTTGTTGGTGATGTCCAACATTGGACGGGTGATGGTGATGATGACTATGATGATGGGGATGGACGGGGACGGGTACGTGACCACCGTGATGCATGGCAGGGCTATGGCCATTGCAATTGTTGCCCCCCGGCGCCGGTTGTTGGCCCGAGGAATCTGAAGTACCCGAACACGGTTTACCGTCTTTCACTAAAACGGGCACAGCCACTCGTCGTGGTGAACTTTGAGCCTGCAAATAAATTAACACTCAATTATAGTCTAAACACGCGTCATATATGTGTAAAGCATGTATGTATATATATATATTAGTTAGTATATATGTTTTACATAAAATCTTTGTTAAAATAACGATAAAATATACGTTTCATTTATTTCACAATTTTTAACAGAAAAAATCGTGATTAATAAATAATCATCGTTCGAAATAAAAACTTTAAGAAACGTTCAAACACCTTTAAATCAGGTTAGTTTGTTCACCTCTATGAGGTGTTATTAATTTAAAATTGTTGTATTAAACATTCGTCAGTCACAGCACATCTTGATAAATAAGAATAAGTTAAAAAAATAGTTGAAGCATATTTTTTATAAAATTTTCAAGCTCAATCTTCAACTAATTTTCAAGCTTAGATTGAAATTACTGAAAAATTAATTACCTGATTTTGGGCATTTTGTTCGGCCATTGCTTTTTCTTTTGCTTGACGTTTACACTTGTATCTATGGTTTTGGAACCATATTTTTACCTATAATAAAGTAATCATACTTATTATCAGACTCTTAAGAGTTTTTAATATTATATCGTAACATATTTATTATACACCCATACATGTATATGGTATATTAAGTATGTATGGTGTACATGTTATTTCAATATTATATATGAATCCATAAATTATTTGATAAGTTGTTAAATAAGTAGGTACTGTTCAAAATAATCGTGTTAAGTATTATAATTATTGTTAGAATTTATGGTAATTAGCCTATCTAATAAATGAATGAAATTTACTGCGTTGTTACAGGCATTCGAGTATCGGTTTATAACTATATTTTAAAATATAATTATTGGTTGACGGCTGTTTATGCAGTTAATATTCCTATCGTTGTATTGTCAAATGATCTGTGGAAAAAAGAAAGGAATACGAATGAGCATTTAAGTTGTTGTTGAAAGTCAAAAGATGACCAACATTAATATTAACAGTCAATGGGAACGAAGTGGAAATAAAGTTGAAGAGGTGTTTTTAAAAGTACTCGCGAACCGAGTGCACTCTACGCGGCTTTTGGATAAAGGTTTAAAGACTAACTCTTTTGACCGAACGAACGGGATTCGCCACCACCGCTACCGCGGATACTTGAAGCCGCCACGAGTATCTGCGAATAATTCCTACATAAATTCACTTCACTTTTCAAAAGTACTCGGTTTCTACTCAACTACTTGTCCATATAAACGATACGCACTCGCCATTCACGTAGATTTTACATCCTGTACCATCACCGCCGTCAACTGTTATAAATGATTCTTATTTTTTTTTCCATGTGTAAGTATTTATTATCATACACGTACCTATATACATATATTCACATGTATCCATTTGTATATATATAGTATGTACGCGTTATTATTACCCACGTCTCGGCGTAAATAATGTATTAAAACAATGATGAGGATACTAATATAATACATGTAATACATTACTATAGTACGTAAAACTCACTGAATTTTAAATATTATATACGAGTATGCGCCATTTATACATAAATACCTTTGTTGTTACGTTTCTATAGGTGCTCGACGTGAATTACGGCTCTAGAGATTATGATGATGTTCAAAACGAATAAGTGCCAGAAACGATGAGTATTATAACATAATTACAAGCAGAGTGTTTACTATACACCACTGATGGATTTATTGTTTTTAAAAACCACTAGTATCAGGTTTTGTCATACAAAAAAGTTATATGCGACTACACTGTGTAATGTATTTTATAATTTCTAAAAATCAACACAGATAATATTCAAAATATGAAAGTTATATACATAAATATGAGTAGCCAAATTTGTACTAAACATTTTAATTATTAATGACTTGTATTACGTAGTTGTATACAAATATACAGAGTATCTCACGAGGATTTACTATAATATAAAAGGATGGGGTAACGTTGTTTACACTACACTGCATTATATTGCTACACTACTTTAAACACCATGTAAAATGGGCATTTAAACCAGGGACTGAAACCTTTATCGGTTTTGATTCCGGACAAGAAAGATAAAAATTTCGGTTTTGGTATTGGTTTCGATTCTTACGAATAATAAATATCGGTTTCGATTAAAACCGTTTAACTTTAAATTAAAATTTCGGTTTCGGTTGTTTCATAAACGTTATTATGGGTTCTAGTTAAGGTTTTGGTTCCAATACTTTTATACGGTTTCAGTCCAAAACTAATCTTTTTCGATTAGGTTATGGTGTCTGGTTAAAACAAAATAGTTCGATGATAACTACTACAGTATTGATGATACGTGAGTTATCTCATATAAATACACGCATACGTATATATTATTAATAGTTTAAGGCTACCACGGAAGTTAATAGAACACTAAAAAATAATAGTTAATGTTATAAAATTCATGACGAGATCATTTATGGTAAGGGGTTAAGATTTTGAACCCGAGTCGAACAAATGTATATAGAAATGTAGAGAAACGAACGATTTCTCTACATCGGATCCGAAAAACTTGGTCTTTTGAGTAATCAATAATATAAATCGGCTCCTAGGGCTAACATTTTTCCGGAGCGAAGACTACTTTTCTTCGTAAATTCTAAGTTTATGCGTTTGATGAGTGTACAGATACTTACGTATTAATGCCTCATACGGTACTTAAATAAAAACATAGAAATGAACCGATGTATTGAAAGCTCGTAGATTTCGTGGTGTCTGGGTTTGTACCTATGTTATTTTGTCGGAATACTATTCGAACGATTTGGTAAAATTGACTTTTTTTGAAGCTTTCGGGCCGCTTGCTTTATTGCCACTTAATGACCCTAATCTCAGCCCTCATAACACCGGGTCTCGAATAATTTAGTGAACGAACAAAATCCGACTGGAGCTAATCCCCGAGCATATATGAAATATTAACTATGTAGGTATTCATGCGGTTAAAAGCGTTGTACGTGTTTATTATTCAGAGCCGCAAATTTAAGGGAACAGAGGGAGGGAATCGTCCCTTAATTTGGTAAGTGGATGGATTGATCTATACTCAATGGTAAATTTTTAGACATAACAATAAGCATACATTAATACATTTATATTACGTAACTATGCCAGAGCAGCAACCAATTTTTTTCGAAACAGTTGGGTATTGAATATTTTTGTTTTTCCGGGGGGAAGGGGGACCCATAATTCCAACTAGTTTCCTCCTCTGATAACATCGTGAATAATGAGGATAGTATAATATACATATATATTGTGTTAATACGACGGTGACAAGTTCCGCGTTTACCGCTGATGAAGCACACACAGCAGGGACGAAAACCCTCGAAAAAAAAAAAGGAAATCTGTCGAATATGCGTAACATTTGTGCCCACCGTCGCTGCGGATGTATAAACACAACAAGTATATTTTTATTATTATAACTATTACTATTATTATTATTATTCGGCCGGGCCGTTTTATGCCCGCGGGGAACACTCGACCGGCATTTTGGGGACGAACGGGTCCCCGTCGGCGCGAACGCGTACAACAAAATACACGCGTTGGCGGCGGACGGTGTGCGCGGTGGCGAACGGGTCCGACAAAAAAACAGTAGTCGCATCGCCGCGATTATATTTTGTATACATATTATACGTGCGCGCGCGCGCGTACCGGAGTCCTTGCCGCAACATCTGGCGCCCCGGCGGCGTACCAGGCACAATCTGTCGGCCATTGTTCTGCCGCCCCGCGCACCGGGTACCGATCATCTCGAGTGCGCCGTACTCTCACCACTTCAGACATTTTTCGGAGGGTTCACAATGAACACTGCTTTTGTGCCCCCCCCCCCCCCAACGGTAGCAGCGGTAAAACACCACCACGGTCACCACTGTACTTCCACCGACAATAGCGATTCTCTCGTACGTTACAACCGCGTGCATGGACGTTTTTCCGTTGGCACACAAACTCACGATGTACGCTAAAGCGGCGTAATAAAAAAAAAAAAAATTACGAAAAATATCCGCGTGCGTGCGGGCGTTCGAAAGCACGTCGACGGGCGGGTGACGATGCTGTGGACGAGGGAAAATTGGGGACGGTTCAAGGGTGAAACTGCGGGACGGTCGTTGGTGGGCGGCGGCGGTGGAGAGGACGCGACTAGACGATTATTCCTATTGTGGTACCGCAGCAGCGCGGAGGCGGAAACCGGCGCACGCGTAACCCCGGAAAATGTTTAAGCCTCATTAACCGCACGGCGAACGTTTAAGCCGGGATCAACGGTTTCGATGGGCTCATTGGTTTAGCCGTGATAATCTCGCTGCGCTACGTCAAACCGAATGCGCAATGAACACACTGCATGGATCGTTGTCCGCATAACGTTTTCAGGCAGTAAACGGTTGCCGCACGGTTCGCGGAAATTAAAACTTGTAATATTTACTCTTCGACTCGTGGTCGCGAAAAACGAGGGGAGTTTTTTTTCTCCAGTTTTGAATTTCCCGTTTACATTGAAATTGCTAAAACTCACGATGATGGCGATCGCGATGCGCACGTAAACTTGAGAAAAAGCTACATAATGTACAATTTTTTTCTCATTTAGGTGAAATCGGACGTTTTTTTTTTTTACCGGAGTGAACATTCAAAATTAATAATTTGTTATCGTTCTAATCAATCAAAAATGTATTACGTTCGACGATAATATGCATCGAACGGTGAATCGAACGGTTTAGGTACCACCATAATTTTTTCATTCACAAATCTTTTTAAATCTTGATTTATAAAACGACTTTATATGTACTGTTCAAACTCTACACCTTAGTTGTATATAAGAGAAAATATTTATTTGTCTACAAAGGTGTACATTTCATTATTTATCCTTTATTTGACCTAAATCATAATTTATAACTCTAAAATTCTGACGAAATAATATAGGCAACGTCAGACTCCGCCGAACTACCCACCGTTAATCAATTAAAGTTCGCACATATAAATACTATTTCAAAGGTATTAAATTGTAAGGCATTTATAATTAATATTACTAAATGCTTCAATTTTCTAAAACTATATAAATAAATAATTTATGTACAAATAAATTCATTAATGCGTGGTCTGGAGTATTATTATATTTGTAATGTACGATCGGTTTCAAATTAAAAATATATCATCAGGTACGTACAGATACTATAATTCATACTATAATTCAGATTAACTATAATAAGATTGAATAAATCGTTTTACTGATTTTGTATATATATGGTAATGAATTTTTAATTCGAAACAGGTTGTACATTACACATACAATACACCAAGCTACACATTTATTTATTTATTTTTATGTATAACATATTTATTTATATATTAATTTACCAGTATTAAACATTTATTAATTTTGTTTCATTTTATTATTTTATTATTTCTATAAGTATTTACGGAAAATAAGTAATACAATCTTATACATATATTATAAACTTAAAATAATATTTACCTGTGTAGGAGTTAAATGGATCAAACTAGCCAAGTGTTCTCGTTCTGGTGCCGATAAATATTTCTGTTGTTTGAACCTTCGCTCTAATTCGTATACCTGCAAATAAAATAAAAATAATACTATACATTTTCCCATTGCTTACAAATTAACCACACACGAAGCATCGATTTTAGAAAGGGAACATACACCTATATATACACACACGATCCGAAGGGGAAAGATATTTGGACAATGTACAAATTCGATGGATGAGTTCGTGTCAAAACGATGCCTTCGTGGATTTGACGTGACGCCTGATTGTGTTTACATTTAAACGAGAAATGTGGATTTTGAGACATTTTAAGTGCGCTGTAAATACCTATGAACTTGAATAGTAAATATGGTTTTGGGTTTCGGGATAGGTTTTCACTCTTAAATAAGACACAGTATTACGTTGGAAATATTACTCATACATTATATAATAGAGAAAATATATTTTCCTTCGTATAAAATTTTAGTTAGTGTTCAACAAATCAGATTTATAAGAAATTGCTCGTATAAGTTCATTTTAAGATTAATTTCAATATGCACATAAATATATACTTACGAAAAAATTGAATACAACTGTAAATGTATAAAATCGAAATATTTCTTTATATAATATTATAATAAAATGAATACATAAATAACGTTAAGACAAGATCAAAAATATAGAATTGAAGTTTAACCTATTTTAAATTAAATACGATTGCGAGTTTTACGTACTTGAGCCTGCGTGAACAGCACTCTTCGTTTTCTTCTTTGAGTAAGTGGAAACTGTAAAGGTGGTTTGGTATCACATCCCATGTTTGTCATACCATTCATCGAGGTGTTTGATGATCCCATCAATCTCGATACTGCAATAACACGCATAAACATGATTAAATTTGAATTTTTGTCAGAGTAATAAAGGTCAATGACTTTCAGTCAAAAAACAAGGCTCATTGGGAATTCATTACGCTTATACCTCTACAATAAGGGTCTCAAATAATCCCTGCATCACCCCTTTTAACCACCTTGTAAGATGCTCGTTTATTTACTCATGAATATTTCATAACATATATAATATATAAATCAATATCATGATATAGGTACACCTTTATATATATATATATATATATTCTAAGGACCACATAACATTTGATTTAGCCTTGAATCATACGATTATTTTATTTTATCAAAATTATTAAAATAATCAATATCAATAAGCACTAACCATAATCGTACTATGTATTAATTTAGATATTGAAGTGTTGTTTATGTGAGTGCAGCTACATAATGTTAAGACTTATTAGTTATATTATTTGTATGTACACATTGTTTAATGGTTTACAATAAACGTAAATATTAAATTTATGTTTCTTTTCATTATTATCAAAACCAATTTACACTCTACGATCAACAAAACATTTTTTATATTTACCTATAGGTAATTTAAGCGGTATTAATAGTATTATGAATTATTTAATATTATATATACGAGTACATATATTATGCATATATAAACTACATTTAAACTATGGAACACAAAGTGTTTATCAAGTATGGTAGATTCCAATTAGTATTCTGATGACAGGACGTAGTTTGCACACCAACGATATATATATTTATATTAATGTACCCTCCCTTACCACCCGTGTCCACACATATTGTTCATGCCGGTCACAAAGCAAACATTATATTATAGGCGCGCCTTGTCATCTACAAATGGAGCATGCGATATAGGTTCCGAGCTTTTTGTACGTATTATCCAGAGACGATTTTTGACAGGTTTTCACCAAACAGTTAGGGGCTGAAGAATCGATAAACACGCTATATGTATTCGAAGACACGTGTCGGTTAAAATAAAATATGTTTGGGTGTGTGCGTGCGTGCGTGCGTGCGTGCGTGTGTGTGTGTGTGTGTGTGTGTGCGCGCGCGCGCGTGTGTGTGTGTGTGTGTGTGTGTGTGCTTTATAAAATTTGGTTGCTAATAAGCTATACCTATATGCGTGAAAATAATATAAGTTTTCGTCGTACAGTTATTCAATACTTATTTAAAAATATACACAATAATGAGATATAATTATTTATAGTAAATTATTGGTATTTTTTAATCTTAAATCCTCATCCAGTATTATAAAATTAATTTTAACAGATTATGTCGGTTTGAACGGAGAATACAAGAATTTAGTAATAAATCATGTTTATGAAAAATTAAATGAAAAATTAATTTGTTAATATTAATTATAGTTTAATTCTAGTAATTTATTAATAGATCCGGATAAAGTTTGTTAAATCAGTTAAATTATAACCTTAATTAATGGCGTAGCAAGGGTATGGTAAATGTGCCAGGGACGCAAATTGCTAAGAGGCGCAAAATTGTGTAAAAGTCGTATTTTTATCCTACAATTATACCAACATTTTTCCATTATACTTTTTGAAATACATAGATATTGTCTACTTGTACACACTACGTATGAATTTAATGAAGAAATTTGAAAATAGTACATTTAAATAAAAAAATGTATATGAAGAAATTATTGATGAATTTGACAGTCATAAAGTGAGAAAAGGAAATTTTCAAAGTTTAAAATTAACACTGTAATAATAACTTATAAGCATAAATTATATACTTAAAAATATTAATAAAATTAAAGGTTAAAAAATATCATGACATCAAATTTAATTGGTTAGAAAGGTAATTTTTTCTAAGTTTGCCAGGGGTGATAGCAAGTCTTCCTACGCCACTGACTTTAACTATAATTCATATACATTTGAATATTTAAAAAATGAATAATGAATAATATATTTATAAAACTTCAGTTTTAAATATTTATATTTATTTGATGCAATACTTATATCTACGATTGTATTATAAATATTATTTTTTGAGAAAACAACTAGTTTTAATTTGAATAATAATATAATTTAGACACTATAAATATGATTTCATTTTTGACTTACAATTACATACATATTTAACATTAATTTATGTATAATTACAGTAATATAATAATTATTATATTTTTTTAGTTGAATCATTGAATAAAAATAATTATATAAAAAATACATAAGATAATTATCTAATATATTTTATAATTAATTATAATTAATACATAAAATCGGGCAAATATTTAAAATTACATTTAATCTACACAACAATAAAAATTCAAATTTCTATATAAGTGTATAAATATAAATAAATAAATAAATAAATAAATTACATGATGTTCATATATTTATGCTATAAACAATGTGTTTATTCGTGGAATTTTATATAATGACTAGGAATTGTATGTAATATCTAGCAATTTTTAAAGAAATATATAATATTTATATCTTTACTTACATTTCCTAGGTATTTTGCATAATAACTATTTTATAAAATGACAAACAAAATATTTGCAATGTGTTAAATAGGAAAATCGATTTATTTTTATCATAATGATACTAAAAAATTAAACCAAAGAAAATTAATTTTATTTGTACACAAATATATTTATTAAGAAATACCAATTATTACAGAATATATACAAAACAATTTATAATTTAAGTAACCTGAATCTTTTTTTTTTTCAATTTAGTATGAGTAACATCTTTTATTAATTGATACATTTATTATTCATCAGTTAGCAATACAATATTGTTTTTTATTATTAAAACAATGTTTCATATAACTTCTTGATTATCCACACTTAATATTTTATGAAAAACTGAAATGTGAAAGTTACAAATAAAGAGTATACACATATAGTATTTAACACATTATCTATACATTGTTTGGCATTTCATATAATGCCTAGGTCTTTTAAATAATTTTATAGATTTCTGAATATGTTTAGTATTACATAAAATTCCTAGTCATATAAAATGCTATAATTATACACGTGGCCGCTAATAATAATAATATATATATATATAGTTACAATGTTATGGAATGTATTCTGTACTGTCTGATGAAATGCCCAAGAGGAAACCTGCTCTCCAGTAATTATTTTTTGATAGCATAAATAAAAATCTCAAAGTAATTAACCGAATAATTTAAAAAATTACAAAGTTGATGATCGCATTATATCGAATATAGAATTTTCAAAAAGCCTACATGGTTCACAAAGCAAAAAAATAAATAAGACATATATATTCAAGTTGCTTAACATTAAGTGTTGCTATTATAAATCCGAATACTCGAGTATACTTAAGAAAGAGTTTAAATGTGTTGTTATAACGGGTTACTCTTCAGATTATCATTTTATATTCAATGATTAAAGATATATTTACTATTGAGATTTTATATAAGCAATACTTATAGATAACTTTGAAGAACAGTTCAAAAGTTTAAAACATAACAAACACACTTTGCTAAATTATCTGAGAACAATATCATTTAAAAGTAATAATTTTTAGTTCAAAAATTTGATGAATTCGACAATTATTCAACAATTATATTCGATTGATTTAAGAATAAAAAATATTTTTTATCATTTGATAATGTATAATAATATTATATTAGTAGATTCACATAATTATTAATTAATTAATTAATTTTATTATATATGCATTGAATAACGATTATAATAATACACTTCTATTAATTTCAATCTCTTTCTAAATGTAGTTTAAAGAAAAAAGTATTAATAAAAGAAAATTAAACCAAGAAATAAAAAATAAAAAAGAAGAAAGTCTAATACTTGTATTTTATTTAGAACTTATATTTTAAACAATAAAGCTAAAAAATTACAGAATATATATAATATAAATATTCGTAAAATAGGTAAGTAATTAAATAATAACATAATATAGATCGCGATAGCGTGCAGACAGTATAAAGATAATTATAATAAAAATGATAATATGAGTAACAGAAATAATAATAAAAGTGGAGAAATATTAAACAGAAATAAGGAGTGAAATCAGTGAACTAATAAAGAACATAAGTTTAAGGATAGAATATAGAAGACGGAAGCAGTTCATACGTGGTTATAATGTATAATTATTGTATGAACGTAAATATATAATAGACGAACAAATTATCCAAAATATTTATAAGAATAAAAAAATATTGGTCGACACTCAGTGTTATAAAATATATTTCTAGAACTGACATACATTTTTTCAAAGCAATTATATTCAATAATTTATTTTGTTTAACTCCGAATACTTTTAAACTATTGTATTGTATATTTGTTGAGAACAAAAAAAAAAATAAGTTATCATTATATCAATATTATTCTTGAACAATAATTTCTCACATTATTTTTTGGATCATTTTAATATTAAGGCAAGTATAAAAAATTAAGGAAAAACGTATGACTATCTCATGAGTTCCGTTTAATGTTTTATTAAAAAAAAAAGTAATAATAATAATAACAATAACAACATGGTTGGGTTTATCAGACCTTGACGAGCACAATTTATTTTAATGGCCGTCCCTCCGTACATGGCCCACATCAATAATTCCGCGTTTCCTTCTCCATCGACTTGGCAACATGGCATAATATATTATGTATATATATGCGTGTGTATGTGTGTGTGTATGTACGTAAGATATGAGTACATATTATAAGGAACACGCTAACAACCGTTCAGTATTGAAAACCCATTTACAATGCGCGTAAAACCACATAAGATGATTGAATAAAGGATATCCGGACAAGTATTGCATTTTATCCGATTGACTCATCCGGCACCTTTTGAGTGGGCGTTTCACGGATTGCCACCGATTTTTGAATGAATGAAAATTATCTGGACGACAAATCGAGTAATACTATTATTATTATAACTATTGTTATTATTGTTATGTTTACAAAATAGCGTTGAAAGGTTCATTTTAAAACGCATTAGAAGCTACCTGTGGTCTTAACATTCTACTGCATCACAGCATCGTGGGTGTCCCCTGTCGGAAAGAGTGAGAGCAAAAAAAAAAAAAAAACCCAGTAGAAAAGATAATATTTTGATAGCTTGATTGCTATCGGAGGGAGAGGGTTCGTTTATACGAGATTGAAATAAACCAATAATAAACGCATTGTCAGGCGTTGAGAAGCATTTTTACCTGTTTGTCAAAACCAAAACTACGTCAGTGTTTTTCTAACTTTTCGAAGCTACACGGAGGATAAAAATTTTAATGAGTCTTTTTCCCTTCTTGTCATTTACTCTCTCTCTCTTTCTCTCTCTTTCCCCGTTGAAATTCGTTTTGGTCCACCATATTTGTATTTGCCAAACATTGGTAGCTGCTTACTAGAGACCCAAGCCTTGGAAATATTTCTTAAACAAACACACGAGTTACAGGGTGACAAATATTATTTTAATGCTGAACGGAATAAATAAGATGTACAATAGTTCGTAATGTACTTAAGCATGGATCATTCATAATATTATAATAATGGACATTTGAACATACACAAAAAATATGCTTAGTAATGTTCGACAAACGTAGTGGTACAACATAAACATACATTATTATGACTATACCGATCGAACTTATTACTTACACATGATATGGAGGTCACAGTATTATTTAAGACGTTTGATTTAGCCTTGTTAGAATATTTTATCGTGTCTAATTCTAACAAAGCACACAGTTAGAACACGATTTAATTATTAAGATAGACAATTATTTTATTCAAACACATTTCATTAGATACCATTAAATAACAACAATATAACAGTAATTTTTTTTTTTATTAAAAATAATGATATTTACAATCTGTGTTTAACATCACAATAAGTAAATTAGATAATTTGTGGTATATATTTAACTTGAATAATTTGAAGAGGGAGGCCAACCAGTGATGGAACCCAACGTGAATTTATTTTAGATTAACAAATCTCTGCAATATTTTCTTTTGAGCCTATGGATGGGATTTATGGGTTGGGTAGATGAGATTTGTGATACTAGCAGTAAATTTAAATCAAGTTTTTGGTTATGATTTTAGTAGTTTACATAAATAAAATATAAGTTGGTATTAGTGACTATAAATATAAAATGTTAAAAATGTATCTACGATAAGAGCGTTTTTATGCTTTTAAATGTAATTATTATTCATACTAAAAATTATGTTTTTACTATTTATTCGATTACTTAAGTCCCAAGAGTCAATATTTAGGTATAAGTATTTATATTTGAATGCTATTTAACTTATTATTGATTGGAGAAAGAATATTATTTTTTTATTGTTGAAGTAAAAAATTAAAAAACGTGAAAATTTGATTTACAACAAAATATTTATTGATAATTGTTACGTAATAACAATTATGAACAATATAATAAATAATAAATTATATTAAACTATTTAATTAATATTATATTATAAATAAGTTTATTTCATACATTTTACTACGTATAAACTACTAGATAGTTTCGAAATGGGCATTAATATAGTTTTTTTCGTGACAATAATATAGTAGTAAAATTATTTAATGTAATATAATACTAGCACACAAATCTAAATTAATACAAGTAGAATAATAAAAATAGTCCAAAACATTTTTGATTTAATTTACTTATAATATTTATTTATATTATTTGTATAGATAGATTACATATAAATATTATCAATTAATACATTTATATTGTGAATTATTGATTTCATTTTTAAAAACCTGTACAATTTATCTCTTCTTTATTTTAATGCTCAAAAATAATACATTAATTTACTGTTTATTGCATAGAATGACAAGGGCCACCCATAAAAAGCTTTAGGCGGTCGATTGAAATTGAGGCGTATATGGGGCTGTTCTTAGTAGCTTCATAAAAAGAGGGATAATGACATTATAACGACGGTTGTAATAACCGGTTAGATAATGTACATCCCGCGGCAAATGTTTTGCGGAAAAGGGGGTTCCCGTGTATAAACGGCTCCTATCTAATTCAATATGACACCCTGAATGCACACCCTCTGCGTATTTTACGGTTGCTTGGGCATGCTTGTGTGAAAACACTAACATCGTTCGATTAACGATAATACTATACGTTTATAGGCCTAATTTAAAATTAAAATATACACATAATACATAAAAAAATATAGAAAACTAATTATACTAACTATAAACTAATAATTAGTTTAATTTAATAACATTTTCAGTAAGGTATCCGTTATGTTTTTATGCTATTAACTGCGATGTATTATTTACATGTATAACTTGATAACATAATAATCTTCAATTAAAATGTTTTAAGATAATTAATCTTTAATATGATTGTTAATTCAATAGTTTTTAATTATAAAATGATACATTAATACAATATATTATATTTAATTGTATTATGAACTTTAAATACATTTTCATTCCAAAAATTGAGTTTAAATTTTAATTCTAATAATTACATTGACAAAAACAAATTAAAGAAATATTTAATACTTGTAGGTATGATATTTATGTAATAACAAAATCTCATAATTGAACTTACAAATATATATTGCTATTAATTTATTGTATTCATTTTGGCATACATTATTAAACAAAAAATATTATAAGTATGTAATTGTTATGCCAATGAAGTAAATTTAATTTGAAAATTAATAATAATAATTTCAAACATGTTTATACTTTTCCAACAAGAACGAAGAACGCATATACATTTACGAATTTTAATTAGGAGCATATTTATGAGAATTTTGATAAGGGAATTTAATGTATATAGCTTAAGGCATTATTCATTTTTAAAAACTAAAATCTAAGATTTCTAGTATGAACTAAAAACTAGAATATACTGAATGAAAGTACTAATTTTGTAATAATTTAGAAATATTATGTTATAGTTTAGCATTATATTATTTTTAGGTCGTTATTTGTTATAATAAAGACTGCGAGTTGGACATTTAATTTAGAATTATATTCAATTGTTATTTTTATGAAAGTATACAATTTTGATAAAATTCATACTTTTGAAGTTTATTATTATTATTATACTTTAATAACTTAAATTAATTTTACGAACTTATACGAATTTTCATTTGTATCAATTCGTAATCAGAAAATAGTTATATATAATTTAAATATAATAACAACTACTATTTGGAGGCTAATGTGAATATATACAAAAACTGGAAAAAAATATTCAAAATCTATTCAGCTAATAACAGGATTTTCGGATATATACACTATTATGAATTATACTTATCAAACCGAATCAAATGTACGATTGAATTAGTGCAGTCTGTACAGAGAGATAAATGGACGGTTTTTTTATGGAATATATTTTGGAATTTACTGCGAAGACTTTGGTTATAGCGGTAGTACTGTAGTTACTAGAGATTCTACTTTTTCGGTAATTGAGTCGCTGGTTAACGGGTGGTATATGGTGCGTAGAATATTAATTATTAACACTTACTTGCAAATCGTGGGTCGTTGGCCGGCGCTCCATACCACGTGGCCGAATTTCCGTACGACGTGACCATGTCTGGCTGACAATATTGCGGTGGCGGCGGCGGCGGCGGCGGAGCCGGGAACTGCGGGTGTACGTGCCAGCTAGTAGCTGTTGGAACCGTGCCGGGGACGTTGTTATTGTTGTTGTTGTTACCTCCGCCACCGGACATGGCACCTGGGCTTCCGGACGCGCTTCCACCGGTGCTGCCGGCCGTGCTGGACCTGTGGTAGGGCGACGGTGAACCGCACAGCTCGAGCTTACGGTACTCCTCGATCGGGCTGAGTATGTCGGTGACCGAGAACGGCGTGGTGTGTGCTGCGTGATGATTATGGTGATGATGGTGATGGTGATGGGGCTTGGGGCTCAGAGACATCGCTAGGTCGGCGCTGTTGAGCTCCGGCAGCAGGTCGCCCGAGCTCTCGGAGAACACGGCTGATGCCGCCGACGAAGCGGCCGTCACCGAGAGAGCCACTTTCGCGGTTTGTCCAAAAAACTGTTACCCGGAAATACCGCTGCCTGCGTACGTTGACCACGCCAAAAAACTGGTGGTGCACAAGCGACGAAACCGCGGAATCGGTGGTGCTCACGTCATCGTAAACGGTATTTTTTCACGTGCAAAATATACGCGAGCGCGTGCACGGCCGACGAAAAAAGGAAAAACAATAATAATAGCGTAAAATAAATAAACTCCGGGGCTCTCGTGTGTGGAGCACCACCCGAAACTAGTGTCACTCGAAACTGGACTACTCGACGTCGACGAGAGGACTCGAGGGCCGCACTCGAGTGGCGGAGCCCCTCGGCCCCGCATCCTGCCCGAGCTGTGGGACGGATCCACGCGGAGGCGTGGTCGGCAACGACCAATAGCTCGGTACCTGAGCCGACAATGCGAAAGGTTGCGATAAAAAATAAAATAAAATAAAAATAAAAACGAAAAGTCTTATGCTGCGTGTGCCAGGGTATAAAATTTTTAGATAACAATCGACAAAATGGAAGGGGTTGAAGATAAAAACAGTTGCCGGATGCAATGAAAATAGCGATATTTCCGGTCGTGTGTACACATGTACATAATGTTCGTGTATAAAAGTATATGCATTATACTTATACATAGGTATACGCATACGTACATATATTTATATACATTTATATGTACGTACACATTCGTATACATGCGGGATAACAGTCCTAAATATATATACATGCATATTTGTAAATAAAATAAATACTCGAAGGGCACATAGGATTGGTTTTGATATGGTACTCTACCGGTGAAAATAGTAGGGTTTTGGAGGGGGGGGGGCTCTCATGCACTAGAAGCATCATCGTCTCAAAGTAGTGTAATCAATTACACGCAAAACGAGTACTGGCGAGAGGCACTTATCGCCGCGAAAGACAACACCATTTGACTTGGCCAAGTACATCATCGTCTCCGCGCTGCACTCTAGAAACCAATAAAGAATCTAAAAATCGGTTCACCGAAAACTATCAATGCACGCAGGTATGCATGCTATGTATGTGTAGGCGAAACGAAAGTTTTAATTTACATGAAACTTGTGAATTTATATGAAGTGAAAAAAAATTCTCAAGAGTGCTAGATAACTTCAAAGTAAATTTCAACAATAATGATTTGATTTGTCTATACATATTCAATCCTTATTATGTATACAAATGTAAGAAATGACACATTTCCACTCAGCTACTCAATATATCGTCATATACACAATGTACCTATGCTATACTGTAGTACTATATGTATACAAACATATGAATCATTAAATTATCAAAGACTATAGTATGACGACGATTATATACTACTCATACATATTCATAAGTTTAATTAGTCAAGATTATAATTTAATTATAAAATTCGTTTTTCAATAAACACATGATAATTTAGATATACAATTCAAAGTAAGTATACAGGTATTATTGAATGGTTTGTCTCATTTTAGAATATGAAAGTATACTAATAAGATATTCTATGGTAATAATAATGTTTTGTTTAGTTACGATTAATCTTAAACTATTGTTTTAAAAGGTAGTAATAAAAATTCAAATTTTAAAAGTAATCATTATCCTTTATAGATATAATTATTTGTTTACATATTATTGATCAAGAAACATATATAGCATATATAACATATATTATAAGTAAGTTGATTATGAACAGAACATTTATAAATTCTACTGTAGAATGTATGATGTTAATTAGTACACATGTGTGTTTAGTAATGCGTGTGCTTTACTAAAATGTTTTGTATCACTAAACTACAAGCCATTAAAAGAATATAAATCTTTAATTCTTAATGTTTAGGATTATTAAATTAATTTGAACTTTTAATGATCATCAAATTTTTATTTAAAAATAGCTAAATTTTCTACTTCATTATTTTTATATCGTACCTAAAAATGTATTTATTTCAAAATTACATCATATTGCATATCATAGTTAAAACATATGTATATGTATATTTATAATATAGGTAAATATATACTAAAAATAATTTTCATAATGAGCTCAATCCAAATAATACTAAATGAAAAGTAATGAATAATTTTTACTATATAATTTAGATTAGTTACTTATTTAAATATATGTATAGAACTGCAGAAAGTATATATTTTAGTAGACAGCTGCTTGACAGGAAAAAAAGGGTGTGAAATTGGTTATATTCAGATTTATATCAAGAGTAGACTTAATATACAAAATAGAACAGACTATATTTTTTACTTACATTGAAAATTTTATATTTTTAATTAATAATATTAAAAGTATATTTAATAAATAGTCATTATAATATTGATAATATATTATTCATTTGAATGCCCATACATTTTTTTAAATTATTATGTAGATACCTATATTAATTTAAGTAAAAACTAAATTGTTTTGTTAGACAATGTTTATTCTATTTTATTTATTTTACTTTTGTTATAGTAGAATTATTTTAAAAACCTTAGACTTAATTATTAAACATTTTAAGTAATAAATCTAACGGTTTTATCACACTAAATTTAATATTTCTAAGAGTACCAAAGAACTTGCTATGTGAACTTAAAATATAAATACCTACCTAAGTACCATTGATAGGCATATTACAAACATGACTCTTAGTCGTTTAATTTCCAATTCTATTTTCTAGTGTTCTAAATCATTTGAAATAAGCATAATGTTTAATATAAACATTAACTACAAATAAGGGTCCATTTTTAGATTAAGTACTTAATATAATTAGCAGAGACAAATCGGGTTTGGTATTCAACTAGCGTTTAAACTAATAGATTTATAAACTTAAAGACATAAATAGTGTTGTAAAATTTAAATAAATATTTTATTTTTGAATAATTTTAAATCATAACAAATATAATAATAATTATTATTTTATAGTTAGTATTCATAATACATGTACACACTATGTATGCAATATGTATCACGTGTACATATCTTTTATTTAAATACAATAATAATTTTTCCGTATTCTTATTGATAAAACAAAAAAATTACACAAATCAAATAAATATATATTCTATACTCCATGAGTAATTATATTTTTTATGTTATTGATTATTTCATAAAGTTAAGCTGATAATCATAAATATTTTTGCCTTGTATTTAAATGAAATTTCAATAGCTTAAAAAAACGTTAAATACTTAAGTCAGTTTTCCTTTTTAAATACGTGTAAGGCTTTCAACAAAAAACATGGTTTATTCACTAGTAAACTATTCAGAATTATTTCTTATGCCGATATGTTAGGGAGAGAATTTAAAAATAATTAGAGTACGCCCATTGTTTTGAATGGTATATTTTTATAAAAATTCCGTTACATCATATATGGAGAATATATAGAACGTTGTTTTTAAGAGTACTCTAAAATACCCCCCTAGAATACAATATTTTCTCCTCCGGACGTGTAATTATTATTGTTAGAACTACCTAACGATAGTAATAAAAAAAAAAAAAATAAAAAAAAATACCTGGTGCAATATTACTAATCGACGAACGTAATGTATTGTGGTGACATAGAAATGGACTTTTGAGTGGCACTGTTATATTATTATATTTGCAAGGGGGCGCGTTTTCAATAAACCCATTCAACCATAGTTGGAGTTAAAACTGCCAAGTCTACAAAATATGAAAAAACTGAATTCCAGCTTATTCATTTTTATTATCCCTAGACATTTAACGTAAAAATATGATTAAAGCGTTTATCAAGTAGCTTAGCAATACTTGATAGAAGGATAACTAATTGTGTTATTTACTTACTGGAATAATAGTTTAAGTCTTATATAAATTATTATTTACTTAACAATACTATTCTTAATAATAAAGATTTTCCTCACAAAAAATGAATTTAGAAAAAGTAAGATAAATTTATCAGTTAATATTTATTTATTTTTGTTTTAAGTAAATATTACATACATAGAGTGATAAAATTAATTCAATTTTTATTATGTTGCCTCTGGATTGAATAGAATAGCATAAAATTATTATATCAAATAATTATAACAAATTTAACACCAAACTTATTTGATCAGTTTCTCATTTATTGAAAATCCTATATACAATTTAAAGCCACTATCTTTATTCACAACAGTAAAATGTATGTTTTAAGATGAGATTGTTAATCGCAAATATTTATTAATAACAGGTTTATTATTGTTCGCTATACATTGAAACACATATAATATATAATAGCGAATAACAGTTAAAGTGTACGTGATAGACAAAAATTAATAATATTTTTAAGCATTAAAAAATACATAATAAACAGATTTCAAATTTTAAACAGCAAAATCTGTATGAATACGTGTTATTTATATATTAATAATAATAAATGATAAATATAATATAACATTTGTATGTTATTATAATAATTTACTTTACTTTAGGAAACATTAACCAACTAAGAGTAATTTTATAATCTACAACTAAAACCAGTAGTTTTAAACAACCCCTCGCGTAATATTTCACGACTTTATAATGCTTTGTACAAGTCCCGTTAAAATAGTCCAAGTGTAGTCTGATCCGTCACTACGTAAATTAGATACGCATTTTTTTCATAATGAGTTAAACCTGTGTTTCCACATGGCAGAATAAAGAAGATTAGTCTTCTGGCCCGTTTTATTGGCCACTTTACCTGTGTTCTATTGCTATATTGGAATTGTTTCCAATCCATGGGATTACGTTAAATCTCCCCCGCGTATTGTTCCCGTTTAGTCAAAAATAATCACGGGACACGCGACTAGCGGGGAACGCCCCAACAACTCCACGCGTCGTGTTTCAATCGGTATCCAGTTACGCTGAACTGAAATTAATATATGCCTAACCTGTGCACTTGTGTACGGGCATATTTTGAGAGATGAAATTATATATATATATATGTATAAAAAATCAAATGTAACACATTATTTCCAATTTCCATTTCAATGAACCCACGTCTAATTAAATTCATCCGAAAAGTATTATTTTTTATTAATTTTCTTGAAGGTAGTAAATCAGTGTATGAATATATAATTATAAAAATACATTTTTTAGCTAATTGAAGTGTATTATTGTTTAGTGTTTGATTATATTAACGTAGTGGATGCATCTAATAACAGTTTTACTTTAATTTTAATATATAGTAGTATATATGTGTAGTATATATGTAGTAGTATTTTAATATTTAGTTATAAATTTAAAATTTAAAAAAATCCGTAAAACTATTAGATCTTATAATGCATCTTCCATTTATGGGAAATTGTACAATATATATGTCGTATCCAC